GGGTAATGACTGTTTAGATATGGCAACCCTGTTGTCATGTTGTCATTAACAGGGTCAATGATACATATATAGTTATATAGATTGTTCAAAGCTGGTCGTTTACGAGCGGCCATATTACCTGGCAAATATTTATTAATTTGAATCGGTTTAGAAAAAATGTGTTTTAAAACTAATTTTTAGCCTTTAGACATTAAAAAAAAATAATTGCTTACATTTTTACTTCAAAGCATAAGCTTATGTTTATTTTGAAAAATATGGATGATCAATCTATGTAACTATCTATTTCATTGACCTTGTCAAATCACCAGGCCTACAGGGTTGCCATAATTTTGCTATATCATAACCCGTCAAAACCCACTGGTAGCCATTCAGTTTAGAATGCCCACATACTTTGATTTATACTTTGATTTTCTTTTACTATACGGAGAATGGTCGCACTGCGCAGCTTTCTGAGTGCCTTTTAAAAGGAGATAGAACACTCCGCCATTTTGAACCCTTATTACGTGTTGCCTACATCTTGTCGCAATATTTTTAATAGGTGCGTTTTAATCATCCGCTTCTGCTTCGGAGTTGTCGGTTTTCTTGTTTTAATCTGACATGTTAGAACGACTGAACCGACAATTCCGGAAGCAGTAGCGGATGATTAAAACGCACCTGATATTTTGCTTGCTGCTGTCAGTGTCAGTGAATATTATTTTTGGAGTCACAGTTTATTGCTAAAGAATCAGTTAGCTCACTCGGACCAGTTGAAAGTTCCAAAATAACATCCACTCCAGGAATACAAGTTCAGGATACGCAGAAGACTGCTGTTTTATTGTAGGCGGTTGTCATATATTGTATTATCCGAGTTGCACAGTGTATAAGCAGAAACATTGAGATCCAAAGTGCCGACGCAGAGTGAGCGATCTGATTCTTTAGCTGTAAACTGTGTCACAGGGTTCAAAATGGCCGCGCCCTATGTTGGGCGTGTCGGACCTCTCTCTTGCCCCGTATAGTAAAAGAAAATCAAAGTATGTGGGAATGCCTAATAGGCCCCTAAGGGCCGATTCCACCGTTGTGTTAAACGGAGATTAAAATGACATTGTTAATGTAAAAATGTCATTTTAAACTTCGTTTAACACAACGGTGGAATCGGTCCTAAGTCCGACTACTGAAAATTTATACAAAGCCGATCACAGAACGGGGGCTATTTTCAAACTCGAAAGAATTCATTTATCTCAAGAGAAATGTCATACGTCAACGTAAAACCGTATTTTCAGGGCTCTTAGGGCCAGTGTGAACTCACTGACTGTTTCTCTCGGTTTATTTAGAGAGAATTAAAAAGGAGTTTTAGCAAACAGCCGCTAACCATCCGCTAACGTTACCTTAGGGATAGACTGTAATCTACTCTGTTCAATGTTTATGAAAAAGGTCACAATCTAAGTTTAACGTAACGTTAGCGGAAATCTTACGTACATTTGCTAAAACTCTCTAAAATCTTCCTAAGAATTTTAATCCTCGATGCCTTTAAAAACAACATTTCCACATTGACGTATGACTTTTCTGATGAGAATCTTGAGAGAAATGAGTGCTCCCATACTTTGAAAATAGCCCCCCTGAAGCCGATCAACAAAATCAAGCCACATAGCGAGGCTCATGCGAGGCTTACAGCCGGATTCACCATTTTTGACTTAACAGACTGATAACTAACAAACAGTTAAAATTTAACAGTGTGATAAGAACATTTGCTATTCACCATAAAATTTCATTCCAATATTAGTAAACAGACAGTTAACTGAAAGTAACCAGAATTTATGTTGGTACTGATCTGTAGTGGCTATCTTCACCACTATTGATTTATTAAATTATTGCCGTCATCTGTCTGTAAATTTTAAGAACGAAAGAAAAGAATTTAATAATTTTTAGTGCAAAAGTTATAAGTTTACTGATTTATTTGTTTAATTGAAATGGACAAACAACGAAAACGTTCTGCCAACTTTACAGAACATGAAAAGGAGGTTCTAGTTACACTTGTTCAAAAATATTTTGATATTATTGAAAATAAAAAAACAAACGCTGTATTTAATAAGAAGAAATTGGAATGCTGGGAAAAATTAGCTTGTGAATATAATTCAACATCTACGAGCGGATTGAGAACTGGTGTCCAACTGAAAAGTGCTTATGAGCAGTTCAAGAAAACTGCTAAACAGCACAAGGCACAAGACAAGGTAAAGTCAATTACTAGTTCAAGTTTCTTGATTAATAAATCCAAATATATTTTAGGTAGAATTATTAAAGACTGGCGGAGGTACCTTCACACCAACCATTACGGATTTTGACAATAAAGTTTTAAATATAATAAAAGATAATTATTTTTATATAAATAATCAATTTGACTCCAATAATGAAGCATTGAATATTCCATCCTCCAGTAAAGAACCAGATGACACTGATGTGAATACAGAAAATATTATTATTATGTATGAAAACTATGAAGACAATAAGAATATACTTACTGACATTATGCCAAAAAACGAAGATCCTTTATCAAAAAAAAAGAAAGTATGTAAGTCAAATGTGAACTCCATTGAAGTGGAGGAAAATGGTGAGCGTGAGCCATCAAAGACTGGAGGAATTCAGAAGAAGACTAAAAAAGAACCATCTCATTGGAAAACAACCGATTCCATTAACAAAAAAAAGTATGAAATCCTGCAGAAAAAATATAGCATTTTGGAATTGATAGCAGAAACTGAAAAAGAAAATTTAGAAGGGAAGAGAATTGAAACTGAAATAAAAGAAATTATTAAGCAACGAGAAATGCTTGAACTAGAAATAAAAAAAAAAGAATACAATAATCTTGTGTCAGAGTAAAGTGATATACTTATGTCAAAATGGTTGTTTGCCAAAAATATTTTTTTTTTCGTTTCATAAAGTTTTTTATTCATTATTTATATTCAACAGTATTAGTGTTGGACTGGGAACTTGGTTATCCAAGTACTTCTTTCTTGTTTACTACAAATAGAGTCCTTTTATTATTATTAGTCAAAAATGTTTTTTAGTCTTTAGTTTCATCTTGTCTTTATGCTCATTTAGTTGATTAGGATGTAGGAATATTGTGTAGTGATTAAAAGAAAAGTTGTATTTTATAAAATAAATTTTTTATTGAAAAATTGTATTAATTAATGAATTCCTAACTGTATAATTTTCTTCATTTCTGTTATAATGATGAACAACGTCAACATAATTTGCCTCGTTATCATTATTTTCATCCACTATATCTTCCATATCATCCTGCTCTTCAAGACAAATGTTGTGTAACACAGCAGTGGCCACAATCACTTCACATATTACTTCGGTTGACAAACTCATACCTACAGATAAGCAAGGAAAACGCCTTTTGAGCACCCCAAATAAACGTTCAACTGGATTTCTTGTTCGAATTTGAGAAAAATTATACCTTTGTTGAGCTACTGTTAGAATTTCTCCCAGTGGTGTTAGCAGGTACGTTCTACAGGGATAACCACCATCTCCAACAAGGTAATAAGGGACAAATTCTCCACCTTCAAATCGTGCCCTTATATTGGAATCATTGAATATGGTAGTATCGTGGACAGATCCAGGCCAACGAGAAACTATATCAGTTATTTTTAAGTTTGAGTTGCAGACAGCTTGAACATTAATACTGAAATACCCTTTTCGGTTTCTAAAGACTTCAGCTTGGTTTCCACCAGGGGACTTAATTTTTATGTGTGTGCAGTCTACGGCACCTATTACCCCTGGGAAGTTTGCAATTTGGTAAAAGCCTAATATTGTTCGTCGCTTCTCTTCATCAGTTTCAGGCATTTTAATAAAATTAGGACGCAAACGTACTATATCTCTGGTAACTTTTCGCACTATTCTGGATACGGTTGATTGGGACACATTGAAATGGTCCCCAATATTGATTTGAAAAGATCCTGTTGCATAAAAGCGTAGGCATATTAAAATTTGATTTAGCTTAGAAATTGGGTTATTTAGCCTATCTACTGGTTCAAACAAACCATGCAACATGTTAGATATTGACTCCACAGTATCTTTCTTCATCCTAAATCTTTTTTTAAAATCGACGTCATCCAATTCATTCATCAAATTATTTCGATGCTTCATAATTCTTGGCCGTCTAATTTCATCGTCACTATCTGAAGATGAACTCAATAAATTATTAAAATCAACTAAATTAATTCTTTCCATCCTATCAAGAAATTGTTAGTTTAATAACATCAAAGATGACAAATGACGTAACACTGTGTTATCAGTCTGTTAGCAGGTTTATTAGCCCGAATTCCCTCTGTTAACTTATCAGAGGATTTAATTGAGTGTTAATCCCTAACCATCATTGGTGAATACCAAAGAAAAACGTTAACAGACTGTTAAGAGTTAACTCTCTGATTAAGACAATGGTGAATACGGGTGTTAGAACAATATTCAAATGCTGCGTTTGAGAATCCACATCGGATGCATTTTTTACATCTCGAGCGTTTTTTTATCCACATCGGACACATCTATCCCATTACGTTTACGTATACTGAATCACGTGATCAAAGATTTTTTACATCTCAGATGCATCGGATGTGGATTCTCAAACGCGGCATAAGTAGCGAGGTGATATTTGACACTGTGGCGCCCACACGTGCGTATCGAAATGTACTATAAAAAGGAACATCAAAATTAAATTTAACACTTATTACATTCAACTACGATACCTCTTAATTGAAGAAAATTACTTTAAAATGATTTTTGATTAATACGCAGCTGAAACAAATGTTCCAATATTAATTATTAAAATATCCTGTTATTAATTAAAAATAATATAACTTATCGTAGTACACCCAAGAAAAATTAAGTAGACCCGTGGGAAACGTGTATGATGCTCGAAATTGACAGTCTGGCGTCCAAATTGCCATGCGCACCGACCGTATTTTAACCCATGGCGGCTTAGAAATTAGGAGTAGGGTTTATGTCATATAGCCATCCAGTTTAATATCAAGGTCGGTGGACTCAACTGAGTTCTGTTTATACGGACTCTAGATATACCCGCTGGCGTTAAACGATGACGTCATATAAGTTTGACCTTTATTTTAACCACGATTTCAACGTAAATAAATTTTAATAGATGACAGCACAACGACAAATGACATCTGACAGACAGCTGATTACGAGATACGAGATTCCATTTGATATGTAATTTTTTTATATTATTGTTCTTTATCTAAAATTGTATGTGAAATTTCTCTTAAATGTAATTCAGTTCAGGTGTGTATTTTTCATTTTTTCTTTCATTTGGGTAGCATAATTGAATAATCACAATATCTAAATATTGAAACGTAATATAGGTTCTAAATCCCTGCAAAAAATTTCCATTATCTATTCGCTATTTAACCACGTGAAAAAACTATTTATTGGCATCATATTTGTATGTATACATGGCAAATTTTAATGACTGATAACCATACTACGTATATCTGACCTTTGTATATCAATAGTATTGAAGCAAGTATTGCAGTTAGTATAAACTTACTTATATTTTAGTTAACATAACAGTGGCTTGTCTAAGTTTTTGAAGCAAAAATGTCGCACTATAGTGACGCTGAAGATTCTATTATGGAGCTGGATAATACTGATGTGGTACTAAGAAAAAGAAGACCTATTGGTTGGGATTTTGAAACTGATTCGATAGCCTCTGAAATAAAGGATTTATTAGATGAAGATGACAATTCATTGGTAAGTTAACATTTTAAAGACTAGTGCTTGATAATCTTAAGATTAAATTGTTGTATAACCGTACCTAATACTGAGTTTAAACGTTCTATATAGTTATCCAATAATTATCTACAGAAATACTTAAAGGATATATTGGATGAAGATGTCAACTCTTTGGTAAGTTAAAATTTTGAAGACTATGCATAATAATCTTAAGATTTATTTTAAATACAATATAAAACATACAATACTCAGTTTAAAATAGATATTTACAGAAATACACTGTTTACTAATAAGTAAAATTTACTTTAATATTAACATGATCCTTGTACCAATATGACCAATTTAATGAAATGTAATCATTAATTCTTTAAAGTAAAAATATATAACTCAAATGAGAATAAAATCAGTAATTAAAAAACTGGTTTTCTCCAGATTATATAACTGTGGATATCTAAGGTTCATTTGCCAATTTATGTACTTAATTATTTTGCAATCTGTAGTTATTAATAGACAGAAACTGCAGTGTATTAACCTCTCATGTTATGTGTAGGCCTTGTTGTAATGTCTCTGCATCACTTTAGGAATATCACTGTTATTTTAAACCCAGCACTGAATAGTCATGTAGACAGAATTAATTATTAAATGATTAAGTAGAAGAAAATGTTTCGATTGAACCTGTAGATATATAGTTTAGTAATCCAACTCCTTAAGAAACTTTTGAACCCTCATCTTAAAATTTATTAGGATAGATTTGATTATAAGGTCTACTAAAATTCGACTGCCATTTCCTGGTACCAAATGATGAACATTGTGATACCTGCTATTCCAGTTGCATATTTTATTATGATTTTGTCATAGAATGTCAAAAAAACAATAGTCAATGAAAAGTTTTTTCTCTAAAACGTAATTTTAACATTGGAATAAATGTGATTTTTGAGAAAGTCAAAAATGTTAAATTTCAAGATTTCTATAAAATTAGGGAAGGAAAAGGTATCCTGGACTTCTACTGCCCGCCACTGGAAGGACTAGAGAGTACGTACCTATTTATATTAAAGCAACAGATAAATGTTTAATTTCACTCCAACAAATCATTTAAAATTTATTTACCTTTAAAAGGTGCAGATATAATTTGCTCTAGATCGTTGGCAGTCGAATTTGGGACACCTAGTACAATAGAAAAGTATGTGGTTTTGTTATTGAACCTTGAATATCCTGTCATACAAGATCATAAAATAAAATGTAATGTGTACAATATAGATATATTCAACTTCTTTTTGAATTATTATTTTTTTTGATATAAGCAAAAACTTTGTGAGGAATAAAATTTTCTCTAGAACTTGAAAATACAAAAGTTTTTCCTCTTTCAGTCCAGCTGGGGACACCCTGTATATCATATATATATTTTTATTTTTTTTTTGAGAATGCAGTGAATCTCATTTGTTGTCGAAGACATAGAAACATACAACACTTAAATAAACTATTGTTTTCTTTTGAAAAACATTTTTTTACCATTTTTTTTTTCTTTTAATATTTATGTAAAGAGAGGGAGCCACAAAATTGAGTTTTAGAGTTGGAAAAGGAATAAATCACTAAAGTTAGAGCTTATACAATTCTTGTTGTACAAGCGAGCATTTGGATTTCATTCAGAGGCGTATGTAGTTATTATGGACTTGACTAATATCATATCTCTGTATTTGTTGGACATGTCCTATGTTAAAATAAGTTTTTTTTTTGCTCACTCGGATTGTTCTATATTTTTCATACCTTTAAATATTTCAGGATCTGTTTCAAATATACCAAGAAAATATTGATTCCCTTAAAGGAGTAACTAGATAACAGTATTTATAACAAAAAGCTTTTTATATTTTTTTCCAAATGTATGTTTTCCCAATAATTCAAATTTCTATTTAGTATACCTGGCAACATCGAACTTAAAATGCATCATTACTGATGACCCATACACTCTAGGATCTATGGAAACACATTTTTTTGTATTTGCACTGTTCAAGCGTGTTTAAAACACGATTATAGAACAGAAGTACAAAGACTATTCTAAGAATATAAATAATTAAAAATTATATATATATATATACAGGGTGGCTCACGCTCAACGGGACGGAGCTTTATGGGAAAACGACCAAAGATATAAAAAATTCGTTTGGGAGGAATACGTAGGTTACAGACGGCTACAATTTAAAATTTGTTAGATGTATACAGGATGTCCCACATAAGAGAAAATATACAAAGTTATATTATTTTTAATGGAACACCCTGTTTTTTATTTTAGAATTAAAAACTACATCAAAAATAATGTCGGTTAACTAAAGGTTCCCTATTACTATTATTATTAGTTTTCGATTTATTTGAATTTTTAAGGAAAAAAAGTCTCCCAGAAATTAATTGTTTACTCTTGTTTGAATAATTTTTAATGAACTCATTTTTTTTTTTTTTTCTTATGTGGGACATCCTGTATACATCTAACAAATTTTAAATTGTAGCCGTCTGTAACCTACGTATTCCTCCCAAACGAATTTTTTATATCTTTGGTCGTTTTTCCATAAAGCTCCGTCCCGTTGAGCGTGAGCCACCCTGTATATTTATATATATTTATACTAAATAAGATTAATACCGGGTTGCTATAAATTATTGTAATTATTTGGAACCATTGGCAATTGAACATTTGACACAAATCATAGGGATGCATTTGCAAGCTCAAATTTAAAAAAATAATGATCTATTTTGTAGACACCATTGAGTGACAAATCACTGTTACCAATCTAATTTTTCAAATTCGTTGCAGTCTTTTCAAAAAAAAAATCATTTACAGTCACCTGGTATAATAAAAAAAATCTTTATTTCTTGTGGCATGACGTTGTTCAGGTATGTATTCATCATCACAGACATACGATTGTTTAATATCATGGTTTTTATTTAATCATCCCACATATCTGAGAAGTGGCAAACTTATCTTGTTTCCTATTACTTGTTTAGAGAAAATTATAGGCATCAAAGTTCTCATGTCACCGCTGCATTAGAGCATTTTATCTCATTTTGTTTTAGCAACAATTATTATTTGAAAACAACTGATTATAAATTGAAAACAGATAGTAAATTTAATTAATCTGAGCGCATTCTTTTTTTATGTCTTATTTGGATCAACTCAGCGATGAAAACCTACTAGACTAATCCATTCATTCATAATTAAGCCCTAATTTATTGCAAGTATTTAGATTGTGTTTTATGTTAGTCAGGCAAAGCTGTCGCATCAACTGCCGCATTAAAAAGATTGATAAGCCTGCTAAGTTGCGTGAGTTGCCACACTGTAAAAAACGAAGTAATTTCCTGTAAATCACCTTTAACTAGAATAATATTTGCAACCAAAAAAGACATTAAACAGATAATATCTGGGGCCCTATCCTCGGCTATCGTTTTCTAAAAAACGTATACGCTTTAGCAACATACGAGCTATTCGCTATTCTCGACATTCGTTTTAAAAGCGTGTACGCTTTTAAAACGGGTGTTTTACAGCGAGCGGAATTTTTCACACGTTTTTGATAAAACGTGCATGTTTTCAAGGATTTAGTCAATGTCACTTATATGTCACTTTTAGGACGATTAATAATATTGATTGATTTTAACAAATTCTAGGTAAACTATGTACTTTTTATTAATACCCACAAAAGTATCTAATTTCTTATAAATATGGTTTGCAGTACTAAAGAAGTCCATTAGCTGAGAATTTCTTTCAATTATATTATCAATAATTGTACAATTAGAAAACTTAGAAGATAAGAATCCTTAAAGATTCAGACTTGCAGAGGCAGAATCCAGTTTTTGATTTTAACTGAAATTGAATGAATATTTTTTATATCTTACCGTGTAAGAATTTAATTATTAATTCACGTATGTTTTATTTACAAATGTTAATTTGCTTGCGGTTCAAAGCTCTTCTGTATCACACGTTGTATCCAGAAATTTTTACAACTTTGTAAAATTGCCACAAAATATTAAAGAACTGAATAAGATAAGCAAAGTTATTATTTAAATGAATTTTGTACCATAAAAACTAGGTTTTTATGACGTAGGATTTTCCTAGAATTATAGGTTGCATTAACTGCACCCGTATAGCTATTTTTACGCCAACAATTAACGATTCAGTTTATCCTGAACATCGATATATATTATGTGATTAGAAAAAATCATCGTTCGACAAATTTACAATTGGTTTGTTGTAATTAAATTACATAATCCTTATTCTTTTATGGCCTGCACATTACTTGAATTCAACGATATAGACAGTTTACAGTGCTGCCAGACATATTATTTGCTTGTTAAAAACGTACACGTCTTAAAAAACGAATACTCATCGAACGTCGGTCAAGAATATAGATTTCAAAAACTACTCGCTTTTCAACCACTCACTTTCGAAAACCGTTCGTTTTTTTAGCGATTGTCGAGGATAGCCGCCCTGGTATTAGGTTAGATTAAGTTGAAAATTAGTGGGATGATCTAGTGTGGCAAGCCAAACCTTTTGATAAAGGCCATAGTTGAATTGGGTTTAAGGTCGGTAGGCTTCAGTAAGGTGAATCTGAAGATCTGTAACCTAGTTCTTTGAAAATCGGAGCAGGTACATAGACAGTCCGATGTTTGCAGGCCAATCATCATGTGGTTAGTGTAAAAATAAGTATCCTACTCCATTTCCGTATCTAAGCAGAGGCATTCGTGGAAGGGTTGGTTAAAAACACCTGTGAATGCCTTCAATTCGATTTTTGTAAAGAAAAATTGGTCTAGTAGTTGTTCGCCGTTGGATAAAATATATTAATAATAATAATAATAATAATATATTAACTATTAGGCATTCCAACGATCTGTCAAAAAGCTGCCCGTGGACAATGACAGGTTATGATATGGCAACCCTGTTGTCTTTGACAGGGTCAATGATACATAACGTTTGTTCCAACAACGATCAGAAACTAGTCATTGCCACCAGGATTCTGCGCAGTAGGTTATAGGACCTCAAATTATATACTGCTGAGAATCCTGGCGCCAATGACTGGTTTCGGATCGTTGTTGGAACAAACCTATTTATACATCAGAATCGGTTTAGCAAAAACCCGTTTTAAAACCAATTTTCAACCTTTGAATATAGTAAAAGAATTACCTACATTTTTACT